TTGTGAGAAAATAAAAATATAGGATTAAAGCGAGATATGAACTCTTCAAAATGATATATTAATTGATTTATAAATCCAAGTAGAAGATTTCTAATAATTAATTTAATAAATGTAACCATAAAACGCGCATTAAATTCCGGTACCCCTTATACTAAGGCTTGGGTCAGTTATGGTCAAGGTAAGTTTAATGTATATCACTGTTGATATCACATACTAAAGTACATACTCTATGGTCGGTAGATCGAATCCCGGTGGGTGCAAATATTTTTTGAATTATATTTCATTAAATAGTATATTTTATTTTACTTTTTATTTACTCTTTAATTAAAAGTATTCATAATAAATATATTTTAATATTATTATGATCATATTTATAATTAATAAATGTATATAAACTAAATTGATGTCATATTAGTAAATACTGTGTACTGTAAAGTAATATTGATTGTTTGATATGTACTTTAGTATTGATTGTCACTACAAGTTCTAATAATTAGTATTTCAATGAATTTAAAAATTATTAACAATTAAATTATGTAGTTATATGAACAGTAATTAAATATGATAGATAGTTGAGTGTAAAAATATAAATATAAAGCTAATTTACATAAATTAAAAAATAGTTTTAATGAATACTTTGCTATACAGTATTAAAAATAGTTAGAAATAATAATTTTATTCATTACTTACAGTCATTGCAGTTTTATTTAAACTATATATTATTGAATTGCCAACAGTTAAAAATTGTTCAAAAATGTTTTTAAAATATTTATATTATTAAAATATTACATAATCTATTTGGTTAAATACAAACTAGACATGTTTGTTATGAGGAAAATAATAGTTCAACTCCCTAGACAACATAATATATTATATAACAATAAAACTCGTTAAGAAAGTGATTCAATTGTAAGCATTTATACATAACATTTAATCATTGTCATAAATCTACAAAAAACAAGTTTAACATTATATATTGCTGAATGAATGTATAAGTTACATGAATTTAAATTTATGTTAAAATAATTTTTATGTTTATTATTTTAAATTAAATTAATTGTTAAAGTACCTAAATTCACTATTTTTAGACATTTGTTAATTATAAAATAAAATTAATTTAAATTATTAAAAAAGATTTACATTAATCTTGTTGCTCATAAATGTAAGTAATTTAAACATAATAATATAATAAAATATTATCAAGTTATATCAACACTTAATAAAAATATATGGACTGTTGGTTGTTGAAGTAACGTATGTATTATAAAATACGAGCTGTAAATATAACTACGAAATATATACATATAATGATTGGCATAATGTGTTAAACACAACCACAAATCAATTATATTTATTGCTGATTTTGACTAGTACAAATTTATTTAATCTTATATTATGTTTATAAAATATTTTTTTATTTTGCACCGGCCTATCCATATTTAATGAATATTTGCGTATAAAATCTTTTAAAAAGTAACTGTAATCTAGGCTTTAAATATTAAACTAATGAAGGTGTTGTTTAAATTAAATATAAAATATACCATTTAAATTAATTTAAACTACTGCATTAATATTTAGTAAAAAATCATGATTAATAATTATTAATTAATAGTTTTAATAAATGTAAATATTTTAGATTAAACAAGAAATTGACCAGTTATGGATTTAAAACAAAACGAAATGGAGAATATAAAAACAAAAATCAACGTTTTGAAAGGCCTGTGGGAGGTATGAAAATGTTGTCTTTTATATTCAGTATTCATGTGATCTCTACTTAGTCGGCACCTCAAGAACTTCGTGCGAGTACTCCGGGACTTATCACCAACGGAACGGATATCATAACCACAGCGTGTATATACATCACGGAACTCCAACCCCTGCAGTCAATAGCCAAATATTTAGTAAAAGACGTACATATCACACCCGAAAATGCAAACACATGGCTTAACAATTGCACCCATGCCACATTTGTTGTTAAGAACAAGGAAGCCATTTATCAATGCATTACATCGAATGAAGAATGTTCTGATGCAGTCCGTCAAGGAGTGCAGGACATGATGGGCACTGTGACCGACAAGATATTGATTGTCGCAATTTTGTCGGCTGGCATCTACGCTGTTATTGAGGGCTATACATGCTACAACTTCTGGGGGAAAATAATAAATGCCAAGAATTTAATAGAAGGAAACCCTGGACATAGCGAAATAATTTCTAGGCTATTGAGTGACATACAACCTTCCTGGGAAAGGTTGGATAAAGTAATCGCGGACCTCAGTAGGACCGACACCAAAAGTGATGATTTGGATTCCACAAAATGTGTTGCTCTGGAAATTATCAATGAAATACGAATCATAGTTGATAAATTCTTAAATGAAATTAGTAAGCAGTAGTCAAAGTGTCGTAAAGACTTAGGTATAGCTGTAATAATGTTTTCTTTTTAGATGACCTTCACGTTGAAGTTAACGGGATGCGGGAGAAACTTCGACTTACGAGAAACAGTGATTTTGAATCGCCCACCACTGTGACCGTGTCGGGTGGAGATGCGATTTATAATACTGTCATACTGTCTGCTTTTGCCAATCCAATTCTTACCGGGATTACAGCAGGATTAGGAATCGCTCACTTACAAATTGAAGTTCCGAATAGTAGTCTCCAGGTCATTTCTTTTAAGCATTTGAAGGAACTCCGGACAGAAATTGAAAAGATTGAAAAAATCAGAAAAGAAGGGCTAAAGATTCAGAATGATATCAATCAAATAAGCAGGGATATTATGCCATAGCTTATGTGACGCAATAGAAAATTTGATTTTAGAAAATACGACCAATTTTGTTTTGGGCCGACCAAATGTTTTGATCGTGTGTTAAACAAATGCAAAAAACATCGGAAAATGCCATGATTGACCATAAAAACAACAAAAATTATTTAACGTTTAATTTAAGTTTTATAAACAATCTATGAATTTAATAATTATAATATAATTGTTAATTAATATTTTAATAAAGTATCTTTTAACACTATTTTTATATTACTACAATACAGTACTGTTTGCATTATTATGAACATATTAATACCAGGGCCGTCTGTTTACATGTTCACACTATAAGCAGGGTACTGAATGAATGCTATAGTGAGTTGTGATTTCTGGGCAACTCATTACACATAACTATTCATTCATACAAAACACTCGTTACAATGTCCTCATAAAACCAACCCTTTCACTGAATAGTTTATGTATGCTATATAGAAAACCCTTCATTTCATAACTCCCATTCCCAATACAGTAACAGTTATGCGAAAGTGTATAGCAATACACATGTAGTGCATTGAATACACAACACATTATACGCTTTGTATACAAAAATTCAATGCAAACACTTTCACTCTCTATTCACTCATTTATATACGACTGTATTAATACCGTTACGCTAATAATAATTACTTAAACTTATTTTTATAAGATAGGAACTCCAAATGGAAATTTATATTCCGTCCAGACATACATTATATTTACATTTATATTTTAACAGACTTATATTTATACAGTATACTGTACAGTAGTACTGTTTGACATTATTATGAAAAGTTTTAATAAGTGTAAAATGCTTATAATAGAAAATTAAAAATTAATTTTTAGCTTACTATGTAATAATTATATAAAAATTTCATATTTTAAATTAATATTTATTTTATAAACATTTATAATATTATATTATACAATAGTTTTATCTACTGAATATTCACTATTGAATAATTTATTATATGGTTTATGGTCAGATAACTGGGTTAAAAGTTATATCGATGCTAGTTTGCATGCTTTCCGCATTTGGAACTAGTACTATTTTATACATCTAAATTTTATACTGTACGATGAGGTAAATAATAAAAATGTCAACTAAATAATGAATACTTTAGATTATATACAGAATATTAAAATATATAATCTATAGTAACTCTTTACTTTCATGATAATTAACATTTCTATTGTTACATGTCGAATTCATAAGCGTTTAATATAATAGGTTTGATAAGTAATTTTCAATTAAGATATTACTTTTTAATATTTAAATATTAGCATTTGTGAAGTTTATAAAATTTATATTTTAAACAAACTATATATCTTCATATTTTAATAATTAATAACTTGTTTAAATGAAACCAATTGACTAACATTTTAATATTTACATAAATTGATTGCAGTATAAAATTGATAAAATTTTATTATCGCTATTTTATTAGCACTGAGGTTCAGTAATTAGCAACTCACTAATAAGCAATCACGTGATACTTTTAGTACAGTGGAAGGTATGAGGGGAATGACTATGGGGGAAGGTTACAGTAATTATGTTTGCCTAAAAAATTAGTGTCAGACTAGTGGTCAGTTATGCCTTAAAAGGGACCTTAGGATTTTTGGATAAATGGTAGATAACTTCATTGGAAGTCTATCGGTACCATTGATGTCCATATCTTAACTCCCGTTTTCGAGATTTTCGACTAAAGTTGAAAGTCGAAAAAATAATATATGATTATGTATGCATTATTATATATGGAATCAATGTAGTTATGAACTATATAGTAAAGATTCACTTATATTAAAATACTAGCTAATCATCAATTTATAAATGACATTAGCAATGACATTCTGAATATTACATTTTAACCATGGTTATTTAACAGGTACAAGAGAACGGGCTCATTTGAGGCTGTAAAATGAACCGGAATAAATCAAGCAACTGCTTTCAATGTGGTCATAGTTACCAGGATCATCTCTATCTTAAGTTTGTTACAGTATTCGAGGCCAAACGTCTGAGAGATGAGACGGCATTCAAACGGCTGAGTGTGGCGTCGGTGGCCACTGAGGTCCAGGAGTGTCACGTACAGGAACTGGAGCTCAAAATTAGTGAACTCACGGAGGAAATGGATGCCATCACCAAATGTATGGCCAATTTTGCCTGTTTTCTCAAACAAAATTCACTGACGCCTATGAACGACCCGTTTGAGGACTACCTGCGCCATCTGATTGACACCGAAAGTGTCAATGTTTTAGAAACTACTGGTGAAAATGCGGAACCGTTGGACAGCCTACTTGATAGGCATAAGCGTGAGAAATGTTTGATTGAGGAATTCATGGTGGATGGGAACGGTAACTCTGAGGGACTGTTATGGTTAGCGGATATAGATGAAAGTATTGATAAGGTGTGCATGCTCAAATGGAATGGAAATATCATCAAGGATCAATTAAGTAGTCATCGTGAGTACAAATCCAGGTGCCACGAGTATTATAATGTGGTTAATTGCGCTGTACCTAAAAAGTCGACCTTGTTTATAAAACTTAATGAATTATTTCATGATAAACGGCAGGCAGTTTAATGGGTAGAAACTATTTTTAAAATAGTTATGTAACTTATTTTGAGTTAATGTTTTATTTAATTGATAGTTTATTAAGATATATAAAATCCACTAAAAATATCATAATACAAAATTAACTCAATATTATATTAAGTTTAATAATATTTATGGGAAAAATTTTACAATTTGAATTATAAAGTCAGTCAAGTTACTATATTCTAATATATATAGCACAAAAAATAATGTTTTTATATTATCATTTTCGTGTTTTATAAATTGTATTCTAAATTCAAAAAGTGCAGTTTTTTCATTTTATTGATTTATAAAACTCTTAATAAACCACTAAAACTTGTGGGCCAAAATGTGTGCCAGAGTATAGATTTTTGCTACAATTAATAAGCGAGCTATTAAACAAATTATCGTTGCAGATTCACTTGACTGACTATAGTATAATAAAAGTTTAAATAAAGCAAAGGTTTATGGCATTTCCTTAAAAACCAACTTGGCCTCCTAAAGCGAGAGAGCTGGTTATTTATTTAAATATTATTAAATATTAATTTTTTATTAATTTTTTATAAAGTATTTCATGTAGTTTATAGTTAAATCAGTTAATAATTTACTAATTATAATTGTAATTATATATAAATAGCTCTCTCTCCCTGTCAGGATCACAAAATTGGGAGAGAGAGCCGTTTATATGTGATTACAATTACAATTAGTAAATTATTAACTGATTTAACTATAAAATACATGAAATACTTTATAAAAAATTAATAAAAAATTAATATTTAATAATAATTAAATAAATAACCAGCTCTCTCGCTTTGGGAGGCCATGGGAGGCCAAGTTGGTTTTTAAGGAAATGCCAAGGGTTATAATTTAATTAAGAAAACTTTTTAAAATTTAAATTTGCGCGAAAAACTTGGACTTTGCGGGCACTTCCAAAACAACTTCGTTGGCCTCAGTTTGCTCGTTTATTACATTAGCACGTTTAAGTTGACTGATTGTGCTACCTGTCCATTTCAATCCACACAACTCGTCAATCATATTATTAATCTCATCGACCGTTATTTTAAACTCATTTGCTTTCATACTGTTCACGACATCCATAATCCTACATTTCTCAACATTATATCTCTTAAGCAAACCTTGCAACTTCTCAACTATGACCTTGCTACCATCATCAACCTCATTAGCGGTATTTAGTCCAATCAAGTGTCCAATATAATGTTGAAAGTGATCATGGCCAGATTTCAGGGCGTTGGATGATACCACACACCCAATCTTGGCCATACATTTAACGATAGTGTCAGATTCGGTGGACAACTCATTAATGGTGCTCTCGATGTCCTTTAACTGCAACTCCTTTACTTCCAATACATTTGAAGTGTTGGTCAACAGTTTAATCATCATATCGTCCCTGATTTGCTTATGTACCAGTTTCTTTTCGTGGCTTATAGTTAAATGTGAACTGTTACTGTGCCCACAAGTGGAACATTCTAGGGTCGACTCATCATTGTAATACTCGAGGTAAGCGTTGCCGAAAACTGAGAGAATATTCGATAAAACATTTTTAACTACCGCACTCAAAATATCACTAGGATCACCCTTGTTTTTCGAACCGGCAATACCAAATTTGAAGCTAGTATTTTTCTTACGTTCTACAAATTGGCAGTTGGTTTTGTACTGGACCTCCACGATTCGGTTAATAAGCTCACTTTTGCAACATTCCTCGTGCCTGCATACTCTTTTTGTGTGTTCAAGCTCCTTTTCGACAATTTCGATGTGCGGGGTAAAAAGTTCGGGTTTCAACTTGTCCAGATCATTTTTGCTTTCTGCGATGCGCTTTTTCTGTTGTTCGCATTGGATCTGATTGTCGGCGATGTTCTTCACGATGTCAGCCAATGGTTGACTCAATAGAAGTATAGCTTGTTTAGCGTTATTGAGTGATAGGGTGTCCTGGATATTGTAAGCCCGGAGTCCGTTAGCATAACTTATCAAACGTTTGCACTCTTTGACTGAACTAATTAAATTAAAAATGAAATAAATATAATATTAATAAGTAGTACATACAGGTAGTTTTACAATATTAAAGTATACTCTTGATTTAAGTTATTATACTAACTTACTTTAGCCAGCTTAAATTATAATCATCTTTTATTTTCCCACCAAAACTCATATCATTTGGCGGATTAGTTGCGGCTATATATCTGAAGGGCTCGCTATCCACGCAATACATTGTATGCCTATCAAATTTAATGTCCAGTGCTGCTTGGCTTTCCCTTATTTCCGTCAGTATTGAGTTAACTGCCGGTACCGTATCTCCCGGTTCATAATGTGTGGACCGCGTGTTGGTGAAGAGGAACAGTATGTTATCTGCGGCTGACTTACTCAAATGACTGAACAACATGTTTAAACAATATGTAAAAATGGTGTCAACCCTGGGGTTGGTAGGTTTTAAAAGCACACAAATGGCGTTAATTTCCGGATAATTACAACTAATAAAGTCTAACAGATTCTTCATATGTTTTTTATCAGCATCAATACCATCCGTATAGCTAATACCCGGGGTATCGATGATATTCAGCGTAAACTTTTCAGTACAGAATTTATAACATTTTGGTCGCTTTGTTCCCGATTTAGTAATATCGCTGGTATTTTCATCAGGGTGAAATCTACCAAATTTTACATTTTGGCCAGCTAAATGAAATTTGACCGGTATTAGGCATATGGGTCGACATCTGGCCTCATCCATAGTCTCGTAAGTCATATAATTGGCGAACGCGTTGATAAAAGTCGACTTTCCCACACCCGTCTCACCCAATAATAAAATTGTTATCTTTTTTCTGTTAATATTATCAATATTTTCAAATCCCTTTGTTTTAATTTTTGAAACCACTGATGGTTTAATTGGCACTGGTGGTTTTGATGATGTTTGAACATTTTGAATAGGTGGTGGCCGAGTTGAAACTAATTGAAAAATAAATTAAAATAGAAATAAATTATTTTACAATTTAATTTTCTCTTCTATTAATTCTTAAATTTAATTTTAAACGTTTAATATAAATATTACCTTCTTGAATTTCGATGCGATTAAAAATATGTACTGTTTCAAATGTAATTTGATATTCTTGTTCATAAAATTCATTGAATGTTGAATAATTTGTTTTCATAATTTTGTTTAAATAAACTTTATAAATATTATCATTTTCCATGGCCGTAATAAATTCAAAATAATAGTCTGATGTGACTTGTTTAAAATCTACAAATGTTAGGTCAGTTTTTAATTTTGTTGGAGGTTTTTGATATATATCAAGTTCATCGTTTTCGAGACCACAATAATATAGGCCATCGTTTGTTATAAAATACGTATTTAACCATGATGAACATATTGATTCTACGTTAATCAGATCCACTAATAATGTTGGTTCATAAATATTACTAGTACAATCGTGCCCTGTTGCATAGTTATCATTATCACCCCAACTATATACTTGACCATTGTGGTTTATGGCAAATGATGAGAGCCCATAGCAGTTAATATATTTAATCTTGCAACTATTACTAAAATTAATTAAGAGCGGGGTGTATATTTTATCACCATGTTCTTTGCCACAACCAAGTTGCCCGCAATTGTTACTACCCCAACCGTAAACATCACCATTACTAGTTAATAATAAAGCATAATTTTCACCACAACATATTTTGTCAATATCAAATTGACCTTGAAAATATGTTAAATCAGGTTTGTAGTATTCATGATCATCCAAATTTGTGTATCTGGATAGTTGGCCAAAATGATTTCGACCCCAGCTAAATACAGTGTTATCTGCATTTATAGCCAGCATAAAACTTATACCATTAACAAATTCTTTTATACCCTGATGAGATAATTCCGTTATTTCAACAGGGTGATCGTTTATCTTACGATTATGTCCTAACCCCAACATACCCTCCATGTTTGAGCCATAACCGTAAACACAGTCGTTATTACATACGCACAATACGTTGTGTCCATTTTTATCCACAAATACAATAAACAATTTTAACAACACTTTTATATCATGTGGAAATTTTTGAAAAATTTTAAAATTATCAATTACACTTAGCATTGTTAATTTTTGTCTTAAGTAGAATTAATTAAAAAATATAAGAAAAATATGTGCCAAAATAATTGTCATATATTTAAGTTGTACTATGGTAGAGTTATCAACATAATGTGTATAGATAATGTGTTGTCAAAATAATAAGAATATAAAATAGTGTTATATAAAATTGTTTTTTGAATGACTAACCGGTTTTCTAGTTATATACTAGTATATGCATTCCTTGAAAACTGGTTATTCCATTACGTGATTCATATCATATGAAATAAAATATTAAATATTTGTAAAATTGAATTTTATTTAAATGATAAATTTATTTAAATTTTCAAAAAACAAAACTAAATACCGTAAATATAATAAATAAAAATGTTGTAATGTTAACTTTAAAATACTTTCTAAAAGTTGTCTAACAAGTACTGTATAACTTAAATCAATGTTGGAAATAAGACATATTTTCTGTGATAATTATAATATAAAGTAAAATTATATGCAATATAAGAGGTCTATTAGAAAATGTTTTGTAATTTTTGTAAAGGTTTATAGTAATTTCATATCTAATAAAGTATACTAAAGTATTTATATCTAGAATTCAAAAAAATTATGATATACCTTAATATATATTATTTTATTATAAAACTATTTCATAAATGACTAACTGTTAAAATAATAAGAGTTATAGCGCTAAACTATCTCAAATTTTATATTTTAAAAAATGACGCTGCCAACTTTTAATAGATTTATACAGTACAGAAATCTAAACCAAACTTTGCGAACAAGAATTACAAAGTTTTACGTTTTTAATAATCGTGAATCTAATGACAATACCAATGATAATCCACAAGAAAATAACGCGATATTCATCACTGACACTGATGAAGTCTACGGACTTGGCGATTTGTTTTGGAAAATATTTCCCGGTAAT